AAAAAAAGTGACTGGCATTTTGCTATAAAAATACGTGAGAGGATACCCTTGACTGAGCCAAAGAACTTAACACAAATTTAAACAACATTCGTGCTCCAAGAAAAACAGTTATTAACCTCATCGTTATTTTAGTGGTATTCATACTTTAGCTCAACATCTGGGCAGCTGCTCTGTGGTAAGACTGGAACTAGAAGAGTGAGATAAGGGAAGTCTGACGAAAGAGGAGGAGCTGGCAAGTAAATATTGAGCTGTAAGTCCTACAAAGTTGTCAGCATCACAGACATCTTCAAACACACTGAATCAACTTAGAGCTTATGCTTGGTTAGTATAGCTAAGCCAGCCAAAGGCAGTACCAACTTTTTGCAGCACTGAAGTCATCCACTCTGGTCCACTAAATCATAACTACACTTTGAATAGTTCCTCCTGTGCTAGCACAGGAGCAGGATTTGAAATCATCCGTGCTGACTCAGCCTACGTGTCTTACTGCATTACCATTGGTCATAGACTGAGGAGTCATTGGAAGAGAGCTTATATTGTGTGGAGAGAACAGCTATGGCCAAACAGTGTTAATCAAAGTGGGGTAGTTAGAATACTTCTTTCTTACCCATTTGAATGAGGAAGTCTAGAAAAATACAAGATAAAACATCATTTTTTTTAAAGATTTATTTATTTATTGGAAAGTCAGATATACAGAGAGGAGGAGAGACAGAGAGGAAGATCTTCTGTCCGATGATTCACTCCCAAAGTGAGCGCAATGGCTGGTGCTGTGCCGATCTGAAGCCAGGAGCCAGGAACCTCTTCCGGGTCTCCCACACGGGCGCAGGGTCCTAAGGCTTTGGGCCGTCCTTGACTGCTTTCCCAGGCCACAAGCAGGGAGCTGGATGGGGAGTGGGGCTGCCAGGATTAGAACCGGCGCCTATGTGAGATCCAGGTGCATTTAAGGAGAGGACTTTAGCCGCTAAGCCACGCCGCCAGGCCCAAAACATCATTTTTTTAATTGAGTAAGGTGTTGACAGAATCCTTCTAATGAAGAGACCAAAGGTCAGGGCGCAAGCAAGATGGAATGCATGCTTCCTGTGGCCACATACTCCAGTTCTCAGATGGGACTTCAATATTTCATTCTTATATAACTCTTCTTCTACTAACATGTTTGGCAGATGATAGAAGGTTCTCATGAAGAAGCAGGAACAAAATTCCTATTACAAAAAGCTAATCATGGGCCCAGCACAATAGCATAGTGGTTAAAGTTCTTGCCTTGCACGCACCTAGATCCTATATGGGCACCAGTTCTAATTCCAGCAACCCCGCTTTCCATCCAGTTCCCTGCTTGTGGCCTGGAAAAGCAGTCGAGGACGGCCCAAAGCCTTGGGATCCTGTACCCGTGTGGGAGACCCAGAAGAGGCTCCTGGCTCCTGGCTTTGGATCGACTCAGCTTCAGCTGTTGCAGCCACTTGGGGAGTGAATCATCGGACGGAAGATCTTCTCTGTCTCTCCTCCTCTCTGTATATCTGCCTTTCCAATAAAAATAAATACATCTTTTAAAAAAAGCTAATCATTTTTGAACCACACTTTACTTTCTTAGGGTATCTTTTGGAGGACGGTACTATATTTGAAAAAGGATAGTACCTGTTATCCTATATCGTTTAAACTACTTCAGGTCAGATAATTTAAACAAATATTACTTAAAAATTGCACTTATAACTAACTAAACGAGTGCTATTATTGTTCAAATATGAAAACAACAGTATACCTATCAGAACATTAGCGGTTATTTTTCCCTTTACTTTTGTTATTTAATTATCTGTTGAGTCACTTCAATGCCCAAGAAAACACCAACGACTATGAACACGAAAAATAAACAATGTACTCCCTCTTCATAGACAGGTTTCTCTTACAGATCATTTAAGGGGTTTTTATACTTTAACTGCAGCCACCAAATTTAGTTTTAGCCTTCATGTCAATCAAGACAACCAAGGGTTATTTTGACATCAAATAGCTATGGCTCAGTTTCCTTAACATGGTCATTCAATATTGCAAGAGACAGAAAAAGTAACTCTTAGTTCTAGGTACACTTTACTATAACAACTAAGATAATGTGGTATGCAGTTTTTAAATATTCACACATATTGTATCTGAAGCAAAACAATAGATATTACCTTCATTAACCTTATGCCAGGAAATAGTCCACATTGCCCTCTTATCATAGTATTAGCACGTGTAAACACTATATGAAAAGTATTTTTCATATAGCCTCTGAATACAACAGATATAAAATGATTAAAGTGAATTATTTCATGAAATTCCATGCTTCTTGTTTTAACTGAGCTTTGAAACGTATACTTTCACTTACTCAAGCCAGAAATATCCCTTAAGTAAAAAGTACCTTTATACCAAACTGAGCAGTGTGCAAATACAGAACTTAATTAAAATACTATGTATGAAATATTAACAAGTACAGCTATTAAAGTTACATTAAACTCCCTCGAGATAGGCCAACATAACATAAATTATCTTTTTTTTTCCAATTTAGTAAAGGGCAGAATTTTGCTGTCTGAATGAACTTAAGTTTTCAAAATGTTTGTTTTACTTCACAAATCTGAAATTTTTATCAGACATTACCACTGAAATGTAACCAAGCATAGTAACTTAATATTTCCATTCTATTTCAACAGAAATTTTATGCTTTATTTTCTTTCTTCCATGTACAGAGCACTTTCTTAGAATTTGTTCTCACACTGAACGGAGCTTTGAAAATAAATTGCACATATCTGATCTTTGATGTTCTTCAATAAATCACAGAATAGTTACCAAACTACTGATATTTTGGATGAATTAAAGAACTTCAGCAGAAAAGAATCGATTTTATTTAGCTTGATGACTAAAGTATTCATCTGGAACTCCACTGGAATAATGAGATTATACTGTGTTTTGTGTATATGTTTATGATGGAAGTGCATACACAGATATTCATGCAAAAACACAAAGAAACACAGACAAGCACATGCATAAGCACACATAGGCATGCTTATAGTTCACACAGGAAAAGGAGTGGAAAGAATAGCCAAAACATGTGTTATTGTTACCAAATAACAGGTAATAGCAATTGCTTTTACTTTGTTTTGTATTTGCTTTACAAATTTTCTTTTATATTTTTTTCTATTCTGTTGTATTTTCTAATATTAACATACTGCCTTTTATGTTTCCATATCAAGAAAATGTCTCGATACTAGGTGATTAAATGCACTGATCTAAAATTTGCTTTTCTTAATTTTCCTAAAATGTCCACTTACTCTGTTATATTCACATTCAAGCAATAAAATCTGATATAAAATATCACTTATTTTCAAACTTTTATTTTAGATGTATCTTAAGTCCTACTGCCATCTGCAAACTAATGCTTCAAAGCACTCGCAGCCCATGCTAACACTGCTTTTAAAAATGAGTGTTCCTAAGTGGCACATTCACTGCTAACTCCATCAGACAAAAGCTGGAAGAGCCAAAAAGAAACTTTTTTTACTGCATTTTTGGGCTTCCCTCAATGTACATTTTTCACCTTAGCTCACAAAAATTAAGAGATATTCAACTGTTAGTGGATCGTTTCAGGAAATGGGAAGATTTAGGGGAACACATCTCCGGAGCTGTGGATCAGAAACAGTCTCCAAGATGGGGGGAGGTGGGGAAGAGCAAGCTCAGACCAGCGATCCCAACTTCCTTCAGTTCTGCACCTCACTCTCTCTTCCATGACAGTTGAGTGCATTTGTTCCCTTATTTCATTGGCTGAAAAAAAATAAAATAAAATCCTGCGGGAAGGTAAAAATCAATCTTCCTATACTGATCAAGAGAACAACAATATCAAATACAGAAAATAGGGAAATGGAAAGAATTTCACTGTAGAGAAAGAAAAACAGTGGCAAGAGAATCCATGCAAGCTCAGCCCCAGGATCTCAGCCCGTCCCTTCTGAAGCAGGACCATAATCACGGTTTACAGGGTCCAAAAGGAGGACTAAGGGTCGTCTGTCTGGCCTGTAATCCCCAACTTGTGTGACCATCAGTCTCCTGGAGAGTTCTGTGCAAATGAGGAACTCTCAGCCACATCTCTGGGTGACCAAGATGGAGCTGCTGGCTCCTGGCTCTGCCCTGGCCCAGGCCTGGCTGTTGTGGCACTTCATTAAGTAAGCCTGTGTGTGTGTGTCTCTCCTTCTTTCTCTCCTTCTATCCCTTTTCCCTCTCTTTCACAGTGGTGAGTATATGTGTGTCCCTACTCCTGTCTCCTTCTGCCTTTCACGTAAGATAAATATGCATTTAAAAAAGAGAGAGAGAAAAGAAAAAAAAAAGATTTCTCTGTAGCTGTGTATCCAGATCTCTCTGTGTCAGGCACTTTCTAAAATCCCCTTGGCTCTTCCCTACTCTCCCTCTTGTCCTTTCAGGATTCCAACACCTTAGTGGTCACAGGGTCTCTAACATCACAACAATCAACCTCTAAACTCCCTAAATCTCTCCCAAATATGTGACTTCCTCAAGGAAGCCTTCCCTGTCCTCTTTCTTCCTGTTTGGTTCTTAGAGGAAAACAGAGCAGGAAAGAAGCCAGGGGAATGAATTCTTGCTGCTAGATTTCCAAATATCTTCCATCAGAAGGAGAATCTGTTTGGAAGGTAGCTTAGCTTTCCCACTGTCTTTCAATGCCCTGTGCTAATTTAAAGTGTTTTTAATGGTGTGCCGTAGATAAAACTCTGTTGTACCAAATTAAAGACTTATTCACTTAGGAAGTTATTCCAGATGCCATCTGACTACTTGGGGTTTAACACCCAACCATGATGATTAATCAGTTCCATCTGATTTTTGTATGATTGAGAGACACAGGTAACAAAACAGATTTTTTAAAAACTATACAATTTAAAGTGATGCAGAAAAATAATGTTAAATGTATGGTGTAATTCTTAGAAACAGCAGGGAGTAGTGTATTACAGGATGTAAACAACATAGAAAAAATGCTAAATTACCTGATCGTCCATCTCTCTGGAAGTCCACGTGATACCATTCTCCGTCGTTCACTTTCTTCTGCAGGGCTTTTATCTTTATTGTACCTGACCCCATGTCCAGGAGGAGGTAGAGGTGACCATCCAGCATCTCGATAGCAAAAAAGTCAACTTTTATCATCTGTGGGTGCTTGGCATCTTTCTGATGTCTTGGCTTGCCATGACTAAACAGGATGAGACCATTTGGCTCTGTTGTGCGAAAATCAAACGATATGGACCCTGTTTTCTTTGCATTCCATTTAGGCAAAGAGATGAAAGACTCTGGGGTTTCAAAGGTGATTGGATCTAAAGTAGCAACATTCTCACATTTAAATGCCACCACTCCATGGATCTTCATCTTAGGATCTCCTTGTTTGGCAAGTCGAGACAATTCCAGCCGTACATCATTATTTTTATATACAACCTGTGTGCAGATGGATAACAATGAGAAGCTAGAATTCATATGTTCATGTCTGCAATTAACATCAGCTCATTCAACTTTCAAGCAAACCATGAGAAAGTACACAATATTTAGTGTGTTAAAAAAAAACCTTTTCCTCAGGAACACAAAATTCAAATATCCTGTGATTGAACAGTAACCAGACCAATTCAATTCAAACAGAGTACTTGCAGATATAAATACAGAATCACATAAACTGCCTGTGTTTAACTAAAATAACCTAAAGAAATGGTCATATAACTTTCATTATTGTATTAGAATTAACATGTAAAGACTTACATTTATAAAATAGTACTTGTTCATTGTCTATTTTTTAAATAAATACAAATATTGAGGCTATCTAGTTTTCCTATTATTATCATGAGTTCAGTTTTTATATACCGCTACCAACATAGGATCACTTTAATAGACTATATGTCCACTGTGCACAGGTAATTTATAACCAAAACAAGTTGAGATACAAAATTTATAAATTTATAAAAAGCAGTTAACTATTGAGATACTTCCAAAGTTTACAGAAAATGAAGAGTGTATCTTATGAAAAAAAAGTTTTTAAAAGCAATGTACTTTATTCATTTCACAGTTTCCATTAGCTTCTTGAAGTCTCCTCTGTCCTGCCCTGTCCTACATTACCAACTAAATCTGATAACTAATGCGGAACTCTCATGTGTGGAGGCCAGTCTTCCTCTAAATCCATCCAACGTGTATCACTGTGCTCCATTTTAGTTTTAACTTACAGAAGTTCCAAGCTAGAATTGTCCTGCACTTTCCTTTTCCAAGGCACTTGCTTTAATGTGACTAAAAGACACTTTTTTCTTGAGTCCAGACACATTGGTCATTGGTCAAATTTACTAGCAAGACTCAAAATTATATACATTGGCTATCACTCCAAGTTGACAAATTCACAGATATTTTGACATAAAGAAGAAAGTATGTCATTTTTAAACTTCTAAATTATATAAAAATTTATACATTGAATATTTACATTTTTGAATACACAGGCCATACTGAGTTAAGGGTGAATTAATTATCTATATTCATGTAACTATAAATTCACTTATGAAGAGAATCGAAACTTCACAGCATCCAACATCAACTTACTCTAAATTCATCTAGCTACATATAACAATGGGTTTATAAAATAGGAAACATAAGAAAGCCTATATTTGATTGACTAATGCTGTGATGCCAGCTAGACTAACATATACTATTCTTTCCAAATCTGTGGTTAATTATAGCACTGCAGCTGATGAGCCATCTGATATGATTTGTTAATACTTTATTATTCAGAGTGATGAGGAGTTCAAGTTCTGATATTGGATTCCCTAAGTTTAGATCCTGGCTCCAGCATTACACTGTGTGATTTCTCTAAGCCTTATCTTTCTATTCTATAAAGAGAAAATATTTCACAGGCTGGTTTAAATGATTCAATAAAAAATTACATGTAAGTCAGAACATTTACATAAGGAAAATATAACCAATAAAAAGCATTTTTGAAAATACCAACTATATCAAATTACGTGAAAATAAATACCATCTTAACATAAGCTGACACAGATATTTCAGTTGTAAATTAATTCATTATATGGAAACATTTAGAAATTAAACCCACACACATAACTGGTTTTCACATGTCATTTGTGCCAATGAACTAAGTCGCATTTTTCTCATTGCTGGGCTTGGTATTTCAGTTTATCTTTATCCTAAGGATTATTATAAAGAAAATCCCTTATTTTTCGAACAAGTATGTACAATGATTTAACAAGCATCCACTGACAACAAAAAGAAGAGAAAATGAACTTAAGCAGTAACAAAAAGGAATAACATTAATTCTGAGAAAATGCTCTTGAAAAGAGAAAGCACTACTAAGCCTTTGGGAAACTGATTTAGGATTTCTTTTCTTTAGAAATCTTTAGAAGTGGAGAAAATGCTTTTCGTGGATGACTTTCCAAGTTTTATAACCTCTCACCCGTTTCTCTCACGCTATCCAGCTCCATGATGTTTCTTTTATTTTTCTTGGTGATTTATGTATTATATAATTAGAGATGCGCCGGACACCAGCATTGATCAGGAATGGATATTTCCTAAACGAATGATGTAGATGGTTCTCTTGATCAATGCTAACAAGTCACTTGTACAATCAAACTGCTTTAATAGGATTGCATGACATGAACAAATGAATATATCAAATGATTCTGATATCAGTCACTACGCGTTTGAAGAATGTGGAGTTAGTGTAATTACAAGCAAAGATTTCAGTGCTAGACATACAAAATCCCTTAGAAGAATCAATGATTCTTGAAGCTGCAGGGGTAAAAAAAAGTAGAAATAATCCATTGTTCGTGTTTCTTAGGGCAGTCATGCACTCTCTTTCCATTCCCTTCTCCCTGGCCCTACGCACACCCTAGGAAATGAGTGAGCATCAGCATCTGCTTATGTCAGTAACATTTTTGTTTATTTCAGCCCAGCACCAAAATCAATGCCCAGCACACAGACGTCCAATAAATATTGAGAGCTGCATAAAGATCTTCCATTACTTTTTAAAATCTAGCTTCTAGATTATGATGTTGATCTGTAATATTACTTAGACATATGGTTAAAAAGCTGTAGCATATGGAATTGTGAACCAATCTCACACTTGGATGATCATTTTGGGTCTACTTTGCTAGAAAAATGTGTACTCTCCTGTACATTTCCAATTCACAAGTGATAAGCTGGGTTTGAACTTTGGGAAACTTCATTTGCAAGCTCTCATTTTAAGGTGTAAATTAAAGCTCTGCAGAGATATAAACACATGCCTAGAACTACGTTGAGGGTGAGCACAGTGTGTATTCTGTTTCCATTTGTGTTTATTCAAGGGCTACCAGAGAAAACGGAAAAGCAGTTTTGGATCTGTAGGCTTCTGGCTTTCAGATTTACACTACAAAGTCACCTGACCCAGATTTCATAATTATTCTATTTTCTAACAGTTAGACTTATTCTAAAAATGACCTGAATCTAGTTCAAATAGATTAATGAAAAGCTAGAAAGTATTCCATTTTAAAAAACAACATGTGAGCTGCTTTTGCCTCTTTCTAAACTGATTCAGTAATCAGTCAAAGGATTATTTTGCAAATCTTCATATATCTCTGTTTCTATTGAAGTCCATAATTCATATATTTCATTTAAAATCTATATATACTCCAACACCCAAAAAATGTCAGTATTATAACACAGCTTTTTGGAGCTTAGTAATATAAAGACATTTTTGAGGTTATTAGTTTTAACCTAAATGTTTCGTGGGAATTTATGTTGAGTATCGAAGGATATAAACCTAAAATATCATTGTTTCTTTTTTCTTTTTTTTCAGTTCCTTTATATTTTCAAAAACTTTCATAAGGGCATTTTCTCTTTCCTCCATATTTTCCTCATTCTGGGGCCAGTGCAATAGACTAGTGGATAAAGTTCTTGCCTTGCATGTACTGGGATCCCATACAGCCTCCAGTTATAATACCCCAGCTGCTCCACTTCTCATCAGCTCCTATTTGTGGCCTGGGAAAGGCACTCAAGGCCCAAAGCCTTGGGGTCCCACACTAATGTGGGAGGCCCAGAAGAGGCGCTAGGCTCCTGGCTTCGGATCTGCTCAATACGAGCCATTGTGGCAACTTGGGGAGTGAACCAGTGGATGGAAGATCTTTCATTCTGTATCTCCTTCTCTCTGTAAATCTGACTTTCAAAAAAGAAGAAGAAGAAGAAGAAGAAGAAGAAGAAGAAAGGAAAGAGGAAGGAAGGAAGGAAAGAAAGAAAATAGGAAGCAAAGGCAGAAGGAAAGAAAGAAAGAAAAAAAAAGAATATTCTTTAAATTTTTTTCCCCATTCAAACAAGTAAAAGTTTTAAAAATTATCTTCTCTGGGTAATTCTGATTTCAAATCTTTAAAAAACTGTTCCTCCAATCTGATTATTATCAGAATGAAGAATAACATGCTTACACCTACATATTCCAAGGCTTGACACTTGAGTTAGACAATCTCTTACTGTTACATTTAATTTTTTTTGAAAAATATTTACTGATTCGAATGACAGACCTACACAGATGAGAAAAATAGACATAAAGAGAAAGAACTGTTGATTCACTTTCCAAGAGGTCAGCATTGGGGCAGGCAAAATCCAGAGGACAGGAACTTCCTTCAGAACTGCAGGGTTGTGCATTGTAAACACAGTAGCTGGGACTCTGTCCAACACTCCAATATGGGATGCCAAACTTTCAAGTAGCAGCTTAACCCACAAAGGCAAAATGCTTTCACCTCTGTCTGGTCTTGATAATAATTTTGAAAATTTAACAGCAATGCAGGGGAACAAATAGGTTAATAAAAAGGAGTTTGTATATAAATGTTTTAATCTCAAGGCTATTGTCTAGATTACCTAAATACTTATGTCTTGTTCTCCGATCTTCTAGAACTGACATCTAAAAAAGAAAGGCATGTTACACATACAGATTCTTGGGTTTTCTCCCCCACCCTGTGACTTTGTGCCAATGTGCAAGTAATCTTCTGCTCCCACTCCTTTTCTGTCTTTTCCAAATGTGGTTTTTGATTCCAAGATAGTGTTCTGTGTTTTGAGATCCACTGAAACAGTTATCCATTAGTCAAAAGACAGTGCTCGCTGCCTTTCCAGGTACATGAATATGCCTCAGCTACGACATCTATCCATGGTCTGGAAACACTGGCATCTGATCGACGAGACTCTTCCCACAGAGAGTGGGCCTCAGCGATGTAAACTTTTCAGTGGCAAAACATTTGACACTCAAATATTGACTTTTTAGTATAACACAGGTTCCAGCTTAGAAACTGTATTCGCTTCAGTTAATTAACATGTCGTAATCAAGCTCAAGGATGTAGGGTGGTAAAACTGGCCTTGAAGTTAGCATCAAACACTGTGCATTTATTTTGACTTTGTTCTGACCTTTCTTCAGACAACCTGGGTGC